AGAAAACAATATATTTTTATGGATTCACATTCAGTTTGAATTACTTTGTTGTAATACAGCTTAGCATGGTGGTGATGATTACATAGAGATTGTGACATAATACAGTGATTCTGTATGTGGGAATAACTTATTGTGTTTTCTGCCCTGCTCAAATCTTCTATTCTTCATTGTCCTCTTGGCCTCTGTTTTTCTGTGCCCTACCTCCAACTCTCAATTCATCCTTGTTCCTTCCCTTGTTGTGTCTTCCCCTTCCCCCTTTGTGCTTTAATCTCCCCTATCTGTCCCACTGTGAGACAGAACTCTCTGTACAAAGTGCATCTCAGCAATGACAAATGACTTTACTTTCTGCCCTGATATACTGCAAAATAACGGGAGAGAGATGAATTGAGAATTCGAAACACCAACTGACAATTCACAAAAAAGAAAAAAACACAGAAAAACTTCTACTTCTTTCTTACACTCCGACACATACCTCATCATGCATCAGTCCTGAATTAAATGTATTAAAGTCAAACTCAACACGAAAGGCATAACATAGAAGACAATATCTATAGCAAGTATCTCACACAACAACCCTCTTTATGGCTGAAACGAACAAGTTAGACATTTTCCAATTACTTCCCCTCAGCCCAGGGGATCAGTGCGGCAGCAGTGCAGCAGTCCAGTGAGAGAAACAGTGGAAATAGTGGGTATCTACTGTAGATGCATTTGCAAAGAGACGGTTAACACAGATCTAGTTCTCGCCACACCAGACACACCAGGCAGTTAAACTATACATGATACTGTTGTATTTATTTCTCTGCCACCTCCAGCACATAACATCTCATGCATAGACAGCAAAAAGCTGACTGCTGTGCTGTCAACACTCTGGCTTTAACATGGTTTCTTTCTTTCTTTGTTTCTGTCTTTCCATTTGGTTTCTTTTTCTAGTAAAACATCAATGCTGAACCTACTCTCTCTGTGTGGTTATTTATCCACTGATCCTGTTCCTATACTTTGTACTACAAACAGCCTGCGGCCCTCCTTTGCAGCCGAATCAGAGAAGTGATGTTATTCACCATATAGGATTGACATCTTCTCTTGTTTTATTTATTATAACAAAGTATGCATTCTAGGATAGCATGTGAAATGGAAAAGAACCGCAAAGACTTTTTTACAGCACACAGAAGATAAATATAGTAATAATCTGTGTTAAAACACACAGAATAGCATCAATGCATATAAAAGGAGCTATGGGATACTATTAATGGCCTCAATGTGTGAATCGAGTTCTGTTGTTCTACAAATTTAACAGATTTTTGTTTTCAATAAGTTAAATTCTACAAGACTGGGGTATTAAGACAGGATTAACAGATATCAAGCTTGAGAGCTCAATAATCAGTCTCTGCAGGATTTCACTGGCTTTTTGGGGATTTCTGTGGTTGTTAAGACATTAGTTGTCAAGACATATCATTTAATGAATGAATGACTGCACCAGACAATTTGGGAAGTCATAGTTGTAAACTGTTTGGAAAAGTAATCTCATTATTTAGTGATCTTGCTACTCCAGCTGCCTCGCAAAGGTTACAAATGTCCACCTCATATTGGCACTAGAGGAAAAGTCAGGAGTATTCATCATCAGGGGACCATGAATGTCTTTACAAAGTGTTGTGCCAATGCATTCAACAGTTGTTGAAAAGTGTCCATCTGGACCAACGTGGTGTTCTTCAAGAACAGCTGAAATTTTAAGCCTTACCAGCATTTTTGTGTGTATCTGCTCAGGGTGTGTATGTGAAGCCTCGCACTGAACAGTCTCTGTTGTACACCAGCACTTACGGGGTTAAATTCCCTGCTGCGATTTTGTCATTTGGGCTCCTTTTTTCAATCCATGGGGACCTAACACTACTAATGCAGAGCCATCACTGACAAGCATTTCCCATTATTTCCCATCTCACTCACACACACACTCACACATACCATGCTGGGTTATTACTGACAAGTATTTCCCATTTACCCAAAGATGAAGCAAAATAACAATTTTGAGGCGGTTCTGCCACCCTTTTAACCTTGCACCTTCGTGTGCAAATGCACACATGCATGCATACACACACACACACACACACACACACACACACACACACAACACACACACACACCTTCAATCTGCCTCTTTTATTGTCACTGCAGAGACAGCAGCCTTTTCACCTTTTTATTTTCATTGGCTCATTTCATCTTCCCTTTCTGAGGGTCTGTCTTTCCCTCTCTCAGCTCTGCATTATCCTCCATTCTGTTCGGCCCCTCCTCATTTCTCCTCTGCTCTCACTCTGTATTCCTTTGCTTGTTCTCTTTATCCTTCCTCCCCCTGTCATACTTAATTCCTCAATTTTTTGCATCCTTCTCTCGGGGGAATCCATCTCAAACCCTGATTTCTCACCCACAGCTCCTTTCCCGTCATGACCACCTCCCCTGCTCTCAGTTTTTCTTTGAGGCGTCTCTCATGATCGGATCGGAAATTGAATTCCACCAACACTCTCAGCACACAAGCAGCTCATCCTTGCACTGTTTTGTTGTTGCTGTTGCTGCTGGTGGTGTTGTGGTCTATTTATTTCAAGACTGCCACTACACACAGTACACACTTACTTATACATACTTACAGTCATACAGACACCAAGATTCAACATCATTTTCTAAATGAATGAGGAATAAATCAGATTTGTATTCATTTAACACCATCTGAAAATTGTGACTAAAATATTTTCAGTTTAGATTAAAGAGTGAGTCAAATGGAACTGATTAGTTTATTGAAAACCAAATCATTTGTTTCAGATCATTTCACTCACAGTGAAAGATAAATATTTGCTGCTTTGCCACCAAGTATTCCTCATCCTGTGATAAATATATTTGAAAATAATAAAATGTTAACTGGGAGTCAAAGTGACCACTGACCCTCCGGATCAGGCCCAATTACATACAAGAGCAAGTCACCTTCTTCTCATCTCCATTGCAGAGAAAATTGGAGAGGCTGATAGAGCTAGAACATTTTCAGCAATGTCGTTATAAATGCACATCAAGTTCCTTTTTGAACCATATCCCCAGAGTTCTTTTTAAACTCACTGACAGCCTCTTAAATCCAATGCCCAATGGCCAAAACAATATCACGTTCTCTCCTAAATGTGATGAGGTTGCTGAATGTATGTGTATTAATCTGAAAGCCTTAAATGTCTCTTGCCCATTCACTCTGTGTCAGAAATAAAGCTGACATGGCCCAATTTAGAGTGGCTGACAATAAACTGCTGTACAAAGTCGACTTCATGCCTTCACGCTCTTTGATCCCAGTAATATTTTTAAAACAATTTAAAATTGTGTAGCATGTGCTGTAGCACGAACCCTGGAGTTCTAGATAATGGATACATCTACTGAAGGTATGCTAAATATTAGTTTGTTACTACAGCCTAAATGACCATAAAGTTGAATCAACATGTCTCTTAGACAGCTTGAACAAAAACTAAGCATTATGACCTTGAATGTAGGATTTATTGATTTATTGATACATTAGTTAGAGCAAGATGCACCTAAAAAACGGGCAACTGAAGGTATTTTCAGTTCTATGCAGATGACACACAGTTATGTTTAAGATTTGACTACCTTCATAACTGCATTTTGCTCTCATCTAAACTGCTAAAGAAAACCTTGTATAGATAGTCCAAAATTTTGCAACAAGCCTCCTCACAAAGACCCAAGATCATCTATAAGGTCCAACCACTTTCACATCTCAAAACAACTGAGTATACTGAATGTCAGACATGCTTTTAAGATATTAGATCCCTCAAATCCATGGGCAGAGACCTTTTAGCTGTACCAAGAGTAAGCTCTGTGACCTATGGACAGGAAGCTTTTATCATCGCCACATGTGGAACAGTCTGCCTGGACCTGAGGGAATGGAATCTCAGATAATGTTTCTGTATATCATTTACAGCTTTTTCTCCTTTGATGAATTCTTGATGCTTTCCTAATATTTAACTGTAAAGCTCTTAACTGTTTTATTGTACAGCATGGTTTAGTTTCCCTACATTGACAGCATTACTGCAATAGGTAAAGTAGGTCATAAAAAATTTTGATTTAAAAAAACAAAACTGACACAGCATCAGAGAGGAAGTACTGTAGTATTTATTTGTCTGCATCTCTGGCTTCAGCTGCCATGTCTTAGACCGTCCACACAGCAGTCGGTCACTGCAGGCCTCTGGTGCTGAGGGAACCTTTTCATAACAATACGGTGGATTTTCACACCAGTTCTAAATCCAGAGCTAAAGAAGGGCCTTTTCATCTCAGAGGCAGTCAACAAACCCTTAGACGGAAAAATAAACTAGTCTTTGTCATTCGGTCTGCTTGCTTTGAGTCCCTGCCTGTGTGTGTGTGTGTGTGTGTGTGTGTGTGTGTGTGTGTGTGTGTGTGTGTGTGTGTGTGTGTGTGTCTAAGGATCTATAGGAGCACAGGTGATTTAAGAGTTTAAGTTTAAGATGTATCACTTATGGATTTAGACTTTTCACTGTCATCTCAAACTGGACAGCTTTATTGTCTCTGTTCAGTTACGAGTTTGTGGCTTGTGCAGTAAAAACTGTCCACGCTTTCATGCCTCCATGAAATAAACAATTTAAATATGAAATGCAAAGAATGGCACAAATGTCACTGGGTTACATCAGTGTTTACTGAAATGCTCAAAAATTGAGTCTTTAGAGATGCAGTGTTATGCACTCTTTACGCTCGTCTCTTCTTATTAGTTTGATTGATCCTGGGAAACCCTGATGGGCTTCCTGGGGAGCATCAATACAGATGAGACAGGGAAGAAAATGTAATCATCTTCTTATTCTCTTTTACCATTTCTCTTCAAAGGCAAGGCTCAGAACACAAAGGCATGAGAGGGACCACAGAGGCTGGTTGTCAAAAGCAGTACTTTGGGGCTTCAATGTGTAACACAGATCTTTTTCAACTCTGATCATTACAAAATTTGTCTGGAAGTCACATTTCTTTTCCTCAACAAACTTTATTTGCAACCTTATTGACACAGAGGCACATGTACTGAGTAAGAATTATAAAATATATGTATAAAAACACATAGGTCCATCAGCAATGGAATTATAATAAAAGAAAATAATCAAACAGGGCTGCGTTCCAGGTCATGTGACTTTGTATCAGGTTTTTTAACTCAACAACAAATAAAAAGGAGTGATTGTTTACAACATAACCAACAAGCACCGGTAGTATATTTGTGTTTGATATGTTTAATTTTGTTGCACAACATAACCTTCAGCACACAGTAGCAGAATATAGTTTTAGCCAGAAACACTTTGCAGTATTTGCAGCACAACAGAACTTAAAATTTAAGACATTAAAGGAACATTTCACATACATTTTTCTGGCATGCAGTAGCTCATCACAGATGTTCAGGCTCTTTTCCAAGTCCACAAATCTTAATAACAAAACATCTTAATAGGCCTTATTTTGCAGAAGACATTTATCCATGTCGCAGTAAGAAAAGCACAGATGTGAATAATAAAATGGTGAATTCCACTCTGATTCTTACTGTTATTAGTAACCCACCGGTTCTCAAAATGTCTGTAAGAAAAAAGGGTCTAAAAGGTAAAACATTAGTATAAAATTTGTGAACATGTACGTCACAAGCATTACTATGTAAACAATATTTCGACACAAGCACTTGACAGCAAAACATTAAGAGCATAAAAATCTCTCTCTGTAAAAGTAACAGCTGTGTGCTTTTGAGCTCCCATGCAGTAGATGAATTAGCACTGATCTTGTGCATAAATGTATAAGAAGACAATGATTATATTCTTTCATATATATATATCATTATAAAACATTTCTACACTAGTAAGAAAGTGTTGCACTGATACTCCAACAGTCAACATTTTATACTGCACATTTTGTGCATTAGTGTAATTTGGATGGAGCTCTGAACAGTTGTTAAAACTTGTCACATTTTATAAATCAGATATGTTAAGGGCTAACCAGCTGTGTGTGCCAAACACGCATATTTTTTCTCCTGTCACCCATTTTATGAAGACATCATAAGGCACTGCTTTATCACAATGGTCATAAATATGCCAGCCCTCCATCTCAGTCTTCTCCTGGGCCAAATTCCAATGATCATTAAAGTGCCTCACACCTTCCTGAAGGACACGTGTGTGGCAAACTTGACAAGGGAGCAGCTGCTGCTGATCCAAATCCACATATTCCGGGTTGTTTTCAGTATTAAAAGTTCCCCCGGAAGCTGGTAAAAATCCAATGTATTCAACACTTTCAACTGTCCTCTTTCTCTTATGAGTCTTTCTCTCAGTGGCCCTGATGATCTTTGTGCAGCTGCATTCTCTCTTTCTCAACTTGGAGGCGTTCTCTCTCAATCTGCAGTCTGCCAGCCTCAAATTTGAAGAACTGCAGTCTCTCCTTCTCCAACTGCAGTCTCTCCTTCTCCAGTTTCAGCCTTTCTGTCTCCCGGTCCACCACTGACATCCAGCCTTTACTTTCTTTCTCTCTCTCCCTCTGTCCATCATGAGTGGAGGATAAAGCAGACGTAGACGACGAGGGCGGGCCTTGTTGTGGCGGCAGGTTAAAGGAGGAGTCGACGCGCTCTGATTGGCTGAGGAGCAGAAGCTTCAGCCTCTCCCTCTCCACCTGTAACCTCTCTCTGTCCAGCTGCAGTCTTTCCCTCTCTACCTCCATCTGACGAAGACGCTCCTTCTCCACCGCCAGCCGCTCTTTCTCCACTGCCAGGCGTTCAGTTTCCACAGCCAGGCGCTGTTTTTCCAGCTCCAGTCGCTGTTTTTCTACAGCAACCAGAAAGCCAGCTCCCATGTTTTCATGATTGGTTATTCCACCCAAAGCATGGGCTGGCATTCCCATCAGGCCTCCAGAAAGTGACAGGTCTCTAGTGAAGGTCGGAGCCTTGGAGGAGTTGAGCATGCCCAAGTCGTTGTGGGAGTAAACATCACCAACATGCCCCTCGCCACGTGACTCGATGTCGCTGAGGAGGGACGGAATATCATCTTCATCTATTTCTCCATCTCCCACATCACCATCACCATCCAGCTAGAGGGAGAGAGCAAGATCATTAAAGGGGCACTATTAAGATTTTTATTTTGATGAATTATGCATAAATATAATAATAATATAAATATTTCTCAGTAGTGTGGTGGTAGCGATGCTGTTTTCTGAATCAAATAGCTTTTCTTTTATTGATAAAGTAGTGCTGTCAAGAGCAGAATAAAACTGATCAGTTAGTGACCCCACTGTGTCTAGAAGCACGTCCATATGACAGAAACATCAGGTACCAATCCTTGGGCTGATGCCTATGACATCTCTGCTGCAGCGGACTACAGACTCGCAAGCTTTAGTTCAAAATCTAAGAATAGAGATTCAGGTGATTCCAAAATTTCACAGCTATCGCCAACCAAAGTAACCATCACAATGAAATGAAGCGTGGGGAGGTGGGGTGCAAAAGGCTAACCTAAATAAATAAATATAGTAGCCTATATACCAGCAGAGGGCAGGCCTACAACAAAAATGCAAGTTTCTCAAACTTTGCATTTCAAACTTAGATAGACAGATAAAATATTAATATTGATATTGCTATATGACAGTTATGTTCTATTGATCACTGAGATAGCACTGACTTAAAAAACAAAAGAACTTTGCTGTAGCTTAGCTTGCTACATTTCTCTAGGGGATAGGTACAGTGTAGTGAAACTTCATTTAATGTAGTGCAACTGGTAGCTTAGCTCACTACACTTTATAAGTGGCTTTTTAGTTTGTGTTTTTATTTACTGTTTTAATGTTCACAAAACACGTATTACTTTCCTCTATGTGTGTGTGTGTGTGTGTGTGTGTGTGTGTGTCGTAATTGTACCAGCTGGTATATAAAAGTTGAGCTGTGATGAAGTTGGTGTTCTTTGGTTTGTAGCCACACTTTTTTTTTTTTTTTGACCACAGAGTAACAGTAAATTTAAGTTGTTGTTTAAGTATTGTTTTCTTCTTCTTGAATATCAACCCTTAAGTAGGCTACTTCATCTGGTAAGGACAATTCATTTGTTTGTGGAAAAGGAGAAGAGCATAGCCTAGTTGAATTTGAATGACAAAGTAAAATAAATATGATAAAAGAAACATATCAGTGAACTCTGAGTGACTGAGTCGACCTGGACGTACTCCAAAGGAAAAGAGGGGAGCAAATACGTTGTTGGAAATATGCTCTTTCAGTTTATTCTGGAGGGAACTTTCCAAAGAATAAGAAAATAACCCTGATAAAAGATAATGAAAGATGCAATCAAGTTGCATTTAGGAAAAAGTAGGATCCAACTCGACTTGTACTAGATGCAAAACATCAGGATATCTATGACCCTGCAGCTTTGATTTTGTAGATCTATATAAAGAATGTGCAGTTTTTATACTAATGTCACTGAATACAATTGTGAACATATTATTATATTATTATTCTTTATCTCCGTTACAGAGGTTTGTTTGCTCAATGATTTACACCAATGAACAACACAAAAACAATGAGATTCCAAACTAATGTTTTCATGCAGCATGCTGATCATGCTGTGCTTGACACACAAAACTATTACCTCTATTCCAACGACAGATTGTCTTGCTGATAATATGAATAATTTTAATAGACTGGATACAGGTTAATAACACTGTTAGGAAATCAGGTAGAAGATTAGATGAGGGAATTATTGGGGAAGATTGTAACAAATGAACAAATACGATGATGATTTTATCTTGAAAAAGATCGAAATGCAATTAGAAAAAGTAACACTTACACATAAAGTTTAAACTAAATCCTAATTAATTAACACATACTTAATTTAATTTCATCTCTACCTTGTGAACCAACCTGAGCCCAATCAAAAGGCCAGATTAACAAGAGCCACTTGAGTTACATAATGTGCCGGCATAATCACTGTGATATGTTAAACATAGCTACCTCTGCTGATGAGGACATTAATGGAGCTAATTAACAGATTAGCGGGTATTTGCCAGTATAGGCGACTTGTATTGTCATTAACATAAACAGTGTTAATATAAGCTCTGTATCAAAAACATGAAGATATTTGAAAACTAATGTCCTCATTTACATGCATTAATATAGTCCATCTATGGAGGGAACCAGCTTGTCTTATAGTGTTTTTTCTACACAAACTGTCACTACTGTGGCACCTCGATGTAGATGATGAGGTTCTGTTGCTTACTCTGTATTCAGCAATGTCATCTTCCATCTTCACACCTGGCGGTGCCATCGTGGCCTGCCCACTCGGTTCACTGAGAGCCGCCAGCTCCGGCCAGTCGCAGTGACAGTCCTTTGGGAAACCCGAGAGGTCAAGCAGCTGGTCACATCCAGATCCCAGAGAAGCTTCCTCGTGCTCAGGGGAGGAAGACTGATCATACTCGGTCTTCAGGGCCACAGATGAGGATGAGGAGGAGGAGAGTGAGAGCTCAGCCTGAAGCTGTTTTCTCTTCATCAGTGCACGCCAGTCCAGGTAACGACGCTTTACCTGTGCAGGAGATAAGGACAGAAAGGAACTGGGTACAGAACACTGTGTGTAAAAAATATAGAAGTAGGATTTTGACAAATAAACACACCTCAGCAGCAGTGCGCAGCTCTCCCTCCCCCAGTGAATTGACACCTCGTGCCACTTCCTCCCATGCCTGTCTCTTTAGCTCATTAATGGCTGTGTTCTGTTCACAAAGAGAAGAAGGACAAGAAACAACATTTAGACTGTTTTCTTCTAATAATTCTAGCAGGTCTATGTTTTCATTAAACACAACAAAGCTGCCCTGTCGGTAAAACAAATCCTCTGGTTTACAGCCAGAGGATTTGTTTTACCAATATCGATATTTTAATGTTTAAAGTCCCCCTTCACTCAAATTATGTTTTTGTTCTTGTTCCTACAATTGGATGTTTGAGTTTCACTGTGGAGAATGATGTATGTACAGAGTTTGACACAAAAATGGTGTTTTCACATTCATCTGCTGAAAGTGGAAAGTTTCCCTGTGCTCACTGAAAATCTGAATCTAAGGGGCGGAGCCTACAAGCATGATTTGTGACATCATAACTAATTTGGAAGTCAACCCTGGTCCACTATGAAACTTAAAGAAGTGTGGTGTAGAAACTTGAAGCCACCAGTGCTCATACACTGAGAATGGACTTTACAGTAAAGTAGGAGACATCTTGTGTGCAGCAGGGAAACTTTGTATATTCGTTCCATACTTTTTTATGAGATAGAACGAGTAGATGTATTTTTAATGATTTTCATGAGGAAATTATACTTTTTTGTGGAAAAAACATATTAGACACAGATTATTGTTGCAAGCAGACTATTTGTATATGTCATAGTACCTGTCTGGAGGCAATCTAATAATGATATATCAGCTGATAGCAAGAACAGAAAGATAACATTTTCACAAGAATTCCTTACATTTTTTTTTTTTTTTTTAAGAACTGTGACCAAGATGTGTACTAAGTGGGATGTCGTGCAGTTGAAAAGTAAACTGTGCTCTCTGGTGGACAATAGAGATAATGGAGATATTGCTTCTAAATTATTTAACACATTTTGACATTTCTGTACTACACTTTTACTTTACTTACCAGCCCGCATATAAGCTGATATGAATGTTTCTGCTAACATAGACCAATATGTTGACCCGGTTGTTTTTATTGTGATTTGTTTTTTGGATCAATTGTAAAACAAATCTGTGATATACTTCAAAGAATTAATATATTAAATGCTGCTCAGTAATGAATGCGTACACTCACTTAGACTTACAACTGGTTTGAAAACTCATTTCACACATTTAACAAGAGGGTACAAAAGACTTGGATGAAGTTGCTAATTGGATATGACAGGAGCGTTTACTAATTGGTTTGTGCTGCTGTTCTCGCTGCTGTTGATTTGTCCAACTCGACTCACGCTTCAGTGGACAGAGATAACAGAAAATAAGTGCTTCGTCAACACTTTCTTAGACTGAATGAGTGTGTGAATGAGGAGTAGGTGTGTATGCATCAATGGCACTTCAGCCTATACTGCTTTTAAAATACCCTGCACAACACCACTGGTTATAAATCATTTGTTGGCAACATGGCGTGGATTATTCTGGAACAAAAAATATGATGCAACATTAGTTCTCACTGTCAGTTTAAAAAGGGAAGAAGAAGAGAAAATCTACACCTGCTGTCTGGAAAACAACACGTCCCTCCTCTTGTGGATCTCCCTGATTAGAGTCTGTGTTTCTCTCACACTGTAGTTGCTCTTCCTCTTCCTCTTCAGATGCTTCACCTGCAGGAAATCCAGCTTGGCAGCAAGAAGGGGACAGAAGCCCACAGAAAAAACAGAGAGAGAGAGAGAGAGAGAGAGAGAGAGAGAGAGAGACGAGGAGAGGAGAGACAGCTGGGGGAAAATAAGCAAGAAGAGCAGGGAGGGGAGAGAGGTGTATGGAGGGAGAAATAGAAGGAGGAAGCAATGAGAAGAAAGAGGTCCAGTAGAAACAGGGGTACAAAGAGAGGTAGATCACAGGCCAGAATAAAGGGGGGACTCGGTCCTCAGATGGAGTGAAATGTGGATGATTGTTGTATAGGTTAGTCCATGTCTAGCAGTAGCTTTCCTTCAAAAGTGAAGTAGTTCTCATCAGGTAGCAATCCCTCAGTGGCTCCAGCAGTCCCTGTGAAGTTTTCCACCGGGGAGACTGATCCCAGCTGTTACACTAGATGCTGCCTCTGTGTTATGGACATGTGAGAACTGAAGTTGTGGAAATCTCGTGTGGAAGTGTGTGTAGTTGCAGAGGTTAGTAAATCATCAAAAGTCTTCTTTTTTCGCAGTTTGAGTGGGGTTTTGCCTTGATGAGGCTCTGGTTTGATGTAGCGAAGGCCACAGAGAAATGACTGGACTTGCAGGGTTTTCCACCTTTATTTCCTGGCCTTGACTGCTGCCAGATGAGCTTCCGCAGGTAAAGAAGCATCACAAGCTGAAGGGGTTCACAGTCTTTCTGTAGATAAAACAGAGTCATTAATGTAACTGGAATATACAGTGTGTCAACTTAGGTCAATTTGTTATATAACCCAAAATCTGAGAGATATTTCTTTGAGGATGGACATGCAATTGTAGTACAGTATATGCTGTACAGACCAAAGAAAGATGGAGATGTGGATATGTGTTATTTTGTATAATAGTACATAAAAGAAAAAAGCATTTTTGTTATTTGTCTTGTGAAGTGAAAATGCCATGAAGTATTTCTTTATGGATTGTAGTAGGGGAATTATCTTTAAAGATATTTTATCATGTTGCATTTTGAGTGAGGAATCTCTCATTAACTCAAATACCTCTCAATATAAAGAGAGACAGATTTTGAGCTTGTGAATAAGCATTATGAATATGCTTACAGTTTTCACCAATGAAACACTGCTGATTTTCTCTGCAGCATATTAACCATTAATGCGATGGTTATTACCTCTCATATTTGGCTATAAGAAGACATTACACTCGACAATATCTATTACATTATGTTTATTATAGTAAAGAATAAGTGTATATAGCCATATTGTCAGTAAATTTGGCATGTACGTTTCTTATGTCAGTCTAGATAAAATACCTTTATAAGCAATATATAATTCTAGGTTTTACCCTCCTATATCTCTCTAGTTCTAGTAAAATAACGTTTTTTCGAGGAATAGTATGCTATGAGATTGTATTTTTTTAACCAAACGAGCGCAACACAATTTAATCATCACAGTCAGAAATGTAACGTAGTCTTGTGTGTTGTCCATCTTACCACCGCCTCCAATATAACATTTTCTGTAATATATAGTGAGGACAACTCACCTCACGAACACAGATGTACCGCAATCAAAACAACATCGTAGAGGTACAATTTTAATGCTGCATTCACTGATCACTCGGAATCTACATGTTTTGATGGTTTAAGCTGTAAATACAATCTTATATGTGCTGGTCGGATAGAATAATTTGGAATATAAAATGGGACTGTTCAATAAAAGCATTTAGATTTTTGTTGTGTTCAAACAGAACAGCGATACGTTTGCCATTTTGATGCAGAAGGAATAAATCTAATTGATTGTTGAGGATTTCACCGACCTAAAATATGTTTATTTTAAGCAGGACGGTTAAGACACACCAAATTTAAAGTCAGCATAAAATCACAGCTCTCTGGTATCAGAAACATATTTATATATATATATTTATCAACATATTTATCGAAACCCCCACACGGTGAACTCCTATTTACAATGTTCATAAGAGCGTTTGAAGGCACCCAGAGTTGCGCACTGTTTCTATCGCTCCTATTGGTCAATCCTCCACCGCGCCCACTTATGACGACATTCAACCTCGCCGCGCTCTTCCGGGCATGTGCACCGCTGTCAAACACAAAATGTAAACAAAGTTTGTTTTTTGTAGTTTTATTAGCAGCCCTCAGTTAGCCACCGCTCTGACCCGGATGCCTCCCATACAGTACCTCCAGTGGACACTCGCTGCATGCTGCCGCGTTGAGAGCAGCCTGGCGTTGTCGTGGAGACCGCGGTGAGGAGATGGGCTCTGTTCGCTGGGCTTTTCTCTGTGGGTCGTGGACACCGAGCAGGGCTGACTGGCTGCTCGCTGCTCGCTGCATTCAGCGGGAAGAGAAAGACAGAATCGGACAGTTTGTGTTTGCCAAGGATGCCAAATCAGCCATGGTACGTGTGACTCTTTTTAAGTTCCTGTCACCTTCTACATGCTGATGTGTTAGTTTGTGTACATTGTCACTTGTCAGAGGGAGAGCTCTACGTGTAAACTGTGTCTCTGTTACTCCACCAGGCTGGCAGGTTGTTGCTGAGGAGATTTGTGTGTGAGAAGATGGGGATCCCCTGGTCGGACATCCGACTGGAGCGATCTCCCAGAGGGAAACCGTACCTGGCTGCACCACTTAAGGTTCACACTGTGATTATTTATGTTTCACTGATACTGCACTTACAGTAAATGATACCTAGTTTCCCCCTTTTAAATCTCCCAGGTATCTTGAATCATCTTATTCCACACTGTCTGATATGTCTCTGTATTATCTTGTTCCAGCTCCTCTTTGAAGCTACAGTTTATGTTTACACATAATAATAATAATAGTCAAACAACAACAAAAAATACTTTTTTAATCAAAATGGAAGATCGATAGACACACTTCCTCAAAATCTGGTATCTTTGAAAACTTTGGGATCTGCACTAGAATTAAAAATGTACCAGCATTATGTGTGGACAACACTGTGGAAATCTTACATAAATCAGATGATGATTGCCACACAAGGCTGACTCCCTGTTTCCAGTAGGTGGCGCTATGAGTATATATATTATCACATAGATGTGTTCAGGGAGGGACTCTGATTGACAATGTATCCTTAAGTTATAACAACTTCCTGTGACCTAGCTGTACATCGTAATTTGACAGCAGGCCACAGACACGCTGTTAAAAGAAAAGTCGTAAGATTCATAACATATTATTATAAATGTCTTCTGACCAAATATCAGCTGAAAGTACATGAGAGTGTAAAACATGACATTTCTGTTGCTGTTGCCAGTAGGGGGCGCTATGACTATGACTTAATATTGGAATGTAGGTGTGTGCAAGAACCATATCAGATGTAATATTTTACCATTTGTGATGATGTGTGTCGAGTTTTCATGAGTTTTCGAGCATGTTTAAGCCCAACAAAAATAAACTGAAAACACGAAACATTGCCATTCGCCATGTCGCCATGGCAACAGCGTTAAAGGAACACTCACAAGATTCATAACATGTCTTCATCATCAACGTCTTAAGGGTACTCTGACCAAATATCAGCTTGATCTGGTTTAGTCTGTTTAGAAGTCGATCCGATCAATTCCCTAGGAGGACTTCGTTAAATAAATTCAAAATGATTTTCTTTTTGGAAGGTTTGGGGCCTGGGTCCAAAATACTTTTTCGTACGTCTGG